AAAAAAAAAAAAAAAAAAAAAAGCCTTCCCAGAATAATTAGAGTCCTTCTAGCACCATAAGAACTTACTCAGAAGATTTATGTTAGGAAAGAATGTAGCCCCCATCTGTAGTGTCCATGTGTAACTCCGCTGCAACCTTGAGCTATATGTTAACCTGTATGTTACTAATATGTAAGCCTTATTGGGGGGACAAAAAAGCTAAAAATACAATAAATAAATATAAAATAAAAATAAAAAATAAAAATATAAAAGGCAATGCTCCCTGCACTCGGGGCTCAGCCTTTGGATGTGAATCCGTTGATCCTGTGTTGGCACGAATCAACATGACTTCCTGGCAAAGTAGCCTCGGTGTCCCATATCTCTTGATAAAATCCTGCCACAGTACCTGTAGTCTTACCTACTCAGGAAGCTTGCTTGTGCCCAGGAGTTTGAGGCTGCAGTGAGCCATGATCTTGCCATTGCACTCCAGCCTGGGTGACAAAGCAAGACCCTATCACTAAAAACAATAAAATAAAATAAAATAGCGCTGGGTACAGTGGCTCATGCCGGTAATCCCAGCACTTTGGGAGGTTGAGGTGAGAGGATGAGAGAATTGCCTGAGCCCAGGAATTTGAGATCAGCCTGGGCAACTTGGCGAGACCTTATCTCTACAACAAATCAAAAAATTAGCCAGGTGTGGTAGTGCACATCTATAGTTCCAGCTACATGAAAGGCTGAAGTGGAAGGATCACCTGAGCCCAGAGGATTGAGGCTGTGGTGAGTCATAATTGTGTCACTGCACTCCAGCCTGGGTGACAGAATGAGACCCTGACACAAAAAAATAAATAATAAAATAAGGTCATCATTCACTGAGTATCTATAATGTGTTAGGCATTTTCCACTCTAATATTAAGAGCTTCCTTCTGAGGCTAGATTCTTTTTTTTTTTTTTTTGAGTTGGAATCTCACTCTTTCACCCAGGTTGGAGTGTAGTGGCACACTCACGGGCACCGCAGACTTGACCTGCTGGGCTGAAGTGATTCTTCTGCCTCAGCCTTTCATGTAGCTGGAACTACACCACCACACCTGGCTAATTTTTTGATTTGTTGCAGAGATGAGGTCTCACCAAGTTTCCCAGGCTGATCTCAAACTCCTGGGCTCAGGCAATCCTCTCACCTAAACCTCCCAAAGTGATAGAATTACAGGCGTGAGCCTCTGCACCCAGCTGAGGCTAGATTCTTACTTTGTGAGACTCAGAGAGGTAAAGTCACTTGCCCAAGATATTCCCACCAGGAAGGGAATAGCCCAGATCTGCCTGACTCCAAAGTCCTTGTTTGTTACCCTGGACCCTCTGGCCCAATCATGCAGCCAGAGCTTGAGTTTCCCAGAACTTGTGGGTGGCTGAACCTCCACCTTGCTGCTGCCTGCTCTGCAGAGGTTGCCCGCTTGTGATCTGGGCAGAAATGTTGATTGCTGCCATGTGGCTATTCTGCCCCCAGTATCTGTCTTAGATGATGGGGCATAGGGTTTGAGGGGTCCTTGATTGTGTCATGTTTCTAGGCCTTGGCCAGCCCAGCCTGACAAGCCTTCTGCTGTCACACTGTTGGGTAGCCTGGTGCCCTGAATGGGGAGGGAGATACTCTGGCATCACCAGTCCTGGCATCTGCTCCTGGTTCCATCACTTTTCAGTTGTGTGACTTTAAACTGAGCCCAAACCTCTGTGAGCCTCAAAAGCCTCATTGGCACAATCTACAGGGCTGCTGTGGGATAAGTAAGGTCCTGGTTGTCAAATTCCAAGCAGTTTTTGGTACATAGTAGGGGAACTTTACTCCCCTTTTCTCCTGCCTAATGAACCGAGCACCAGTGGACAAAAGGGCATACATCTTTCATTTGATTTAGAATAATTTAATCTTTACATTTATAAAGTTTCTTACATGTATTTTTTTGAGACGGAATCTCACTCTATCACCCAGGCTGGAGTGCCGTGGCACAATCACAGCCACTGCAACCTAGACCTGCTGGGTTCAGGTGATCTTTCTGCCTCAGCCTTCCAAGTAGCCAGAACTTTAGGCACACGCCACATGATCAGCTAATTTTAAAATTTTTATTGTAGAGACAAGGGCTCACTGAGTTGCCCAGACTGTCTCAAATTCTTGGGCTCAGGCAATCCTCTCTCCTCTGCCTCCCAATGTGCTGGGGATTATAGCCATGAGCCACTGCGCCTGGCTTGTATGTCTTTTTATCTCACTGAATGCTCACAGCTTTCCCTCAAAGGAGACACTGGAATCAGACTGCCTGAGTCCAAATTCTGCTTCTTCATTTGGCTGAGTGACCTTGGACAAGTCACTTTCTTCTTTATGCACCTCAGTTTTCACATCTTTATTTATTATTAATTTTTTTTTGTAGAGATGGATCCTGCTATGTTACCCAGACTGGTCTCAAACTCCTGGCTTCAACTTATCCTCCCATCCCAGTCTCCAAAAACACTGGGATTACAAGTGTGAGCCACAGTGCCTGGCTGTTTATTTTTATTTTTAGAGACACAGTGTCACTCTGTCACCCAGGCTGGAGTGCAGTGGCACAAACATAGCTCACTGCAGCCTTGAACTCCTGGGCTCAAGCTATCCTCCCACCTTAACCTCATGAGTAGCTGAGATTAGAGGCATGAACCATTGCACCCAGTTCCAGTTTCCTCATCCCTAAAATGGTGACAAGAAGTCGGACACAGTGGCTCATGCCTATAATCCCAGCACTTTTGGAGGTGGAGGCAAGGCTATTGCTTGAACCCATGAGTTCGGGACCAGCCTGGGCAACATGGCGAGATCTCATCTCTACAATAAATCAAACAATTAGCTGAGTGTGGTGGTGTACGCCTGTAGTTCCAGCTACTCAGAAGGTTGAGGCAGAAGGATCACCTAAGCCTAGCAGGCTACGGTGACCGTGAGCATGCCACTGCACGCCAGCCTGGGCAACAGAGTGAGTCTCTGACTCAAATACAATACAATACAAAGTGGCCGGGTGTGGTGGTTCAAGCCTGTAATCCCATCACTTTGGGAGGCCAAGGTGAGGGGATTGCCTGAGCCCATGGGTTCGAGAACAGCCTAGACATTGGTGAGACCTCATGTCCACATTAAATAAAAAAATTAGCCAGGTTTGGTAGCATGCTCCTGTAGTTATGGCTATTTGGAAGGCTGAGGAGGAAATATTGCCTGAGCCCAGCAGGTTGACACTGGGGTGGCCGTGAGTGTGCCACTGCACTCCAGCCTGGGTAATGAAGTGAGACTCCAACTCAAAAACATAAAATAAGTGACAAGAATGTTCAGAAGTGGATATAGGTTTTATGGAGTTGAAGCTTACACAATTAGAAGGGCCCTCCTTAAGAATAGACGGGGTGCGGTGGTTCAGCCTGTAATCCCAGCACTTTAGGAGGTCGAGGCGAGAGGACTGCATGAGCCTGGGGGTTTGAGACCAGCCTGGGCTACTTGGCGAGACCTCATCTCTACAATAAATCACAAAAGCTAGCCAGGCGTGGTGGCATGCATCTATAGTTCCAGCTATTTGGAGGCTTGAGGCAGAAGGAGTGCCTAAGCCCAGCAGGTTGAGGCTGCGGTGGCCGTGTGTGTGTCACTGCACTCCAGACTGGGTAACAAAGAGTGAGATTCCAACTCAAAAATTAAAAAAGAAAAGAAAAGAATAGCCAGGCACGATGGCTCATACCTGTAATCCCAGCACTTTGGGAGGCAGAGGCCAGAGGATTGCTTGAGCCCAGGAGTTTGAGCCCAGCCTGGGCAACTCAGTGAGATCTCGTCTTTACAATTAAAAAAATTTTAAAAAAGGATGGGCTTGGTGGCTCAGCCTGTAATCCCAGCACTTTGGGAGACCGAGGCGAGTGGATTGCCTGAGCCCACGAGTTCGAGACCAGCCTGGGCAACTTGGTGAGACATCGTCTCTACAATAGATAAATAAATAAAAAATTAGTTGAGTGTGGTAGTGTGTG